TGGCAGAAGAAAAAGATAACAGGAGTAAAGTACAGATGGGAATAGAGCAGGCCACTTAAAAGTATGAAGGCAGAAATTGCACGAGAAGAAGGATCTTGTCTCTCTGGATACTCCTCTTGGTTCATAGTCAGTGCTGGCAACATAGTTGTTGGCTCAGGAAAATTGGTGAATGAAAGAAAAAGAAAGGCCAGCTCTAGGCAGAGGTTTCTTTAAGCACTTCTCATGCTGCATTTCATTTTCTGAAGTGTAACCCCAAAGTGCTTGTAGTCTTTGCATATGTCCTAGTGCAGAATCATTAGAATTCATGTCCTGGTTGAAATGCACTGGTGAATTTAGAGCTCCTGCTCCTTAGCAAAAGGAATGAATTCCACTTCCCATGGCTGCAGGACTGTTCCATGCATGCTTCTCCATCACTGGCTAATGTAATAACCATCCATCCCTATAACAAGTTATGGGCACAAAAGGGCCACCTTTCATTTCATCTCACAGGTAATAAAATGTTTCACTCACAGGAATAAAATAGTTGGTTCCCAAAGTGCTTAAACCAAAGGAGGGATTCAATAATGACTATATGAGGCATTTTGGTTGGCTGAATAGTTGGGTTTCAAATTACCCTGTGGAATCCTCTACCTGGATGAGGTAGTACCCCTACCTAATCAACACTAGGGAAAGACATGCATTTCCTTGGAAAACATAGCCATTTACAGGGTGCTTCTCAGAGTCCTGATTTTATGAAAGCTCAGTTTTTAAAAAGACTTTGTGATGAAGCAAGCCAGAGATAGCTTATCACAGCTTTATTACAATATGATCCTTTTCTTAAGATATGGAATTCATTTGCTAGATTCTGTAGTCAGTAAGAGTCAATACCTTAATGAGATACTCAGTCTCTCAGACTGATGCTCTGGGAGAAAAATATAGATTAAAATCTGAACCAAGATACCTGCCTTGGCCCAACACTCTCTGTTTCATTTTGGGTGACCCACTTTGTTTCCTTTAGGGAGAATAACAGGCTCATGTCTCTATTTCCTGGTCATCTTTCCCAGAGCAGTCTAGAGGAAGGCAGATAAATTGTCTGGTTAATGCTAGTCCCCTCTTAGGGAAGAAAAGGAGTCACATTTTCTCTGTTGAATTTAAAACCAAGATCACTTTATTCAATTACAGCTGCTCTTTAATGCTCTTTGGATAGTGTCCCTCTGTTCACAAGGTCCTTAAATCCTTGATTTTCAAAATAACCTCATTCTCCTCCATCAGTTAGATATACACTGATATTGAAGTGTTACTAATCCTTTAAGAAGCCTGAGTTTGATCTATCATTAAACTTCAAAGATTCTGATAACTTTAGTCTCTGATCACTGATAATATTTTTTAATTTAGAGTTGGAGCAGTTCCCTCTGGTAATAAGTACAGCTGGGGCACACAGGCCTGCTATTGTTCTAAAACACAGTTCAACCTAGATGGTGCCCAAATAGGCATGGAATTGAGAACCTTGGGTCTGTTAGTGTTGTGCTTTTGGGCAAAGTGCATTCAGTTGACCATATAGCACTTTCATGATTTGTACTATATCTGAGTAGTATCTGAAATTTATGTACTGGCTCATATACATCCCCTGTTTTATTTGAATACATTTTACAGCCATAAATGGAAAACTGTATTACTAATACTTAGTTAAAGGTAGTAAAGTAAATACAATGAAAGTTGTTTATTAGATTCTAGCTAGATAATATTGCTTTGCAAAAAAGGTTCTGAGCCCAATGTCTGTCTCCTTTTATTTGAAAGGAAGATTGGTCTGAATTTGAAGACATTGAAACATTGCTTCAGGGAATATGATTTTTCCCCTCTATTCATTAACTATTCTGTACTTTGGTTCTGAGTAGTACTTGAGCCCATTTATGAGAAATACTGCCTTTGAAAAACTCATTCCCTTTTTAGTCTGTATTCCTTTCTATATTCTATATTTGGCATGAAGGATTATTTGATTGGTTGGACTTCTGTGAAAACACCTTCCTAGCTAAAGACATTCAGATGGCCTATAGACAAATGAAAAAAATGTTCAATATCACTATTATTATTATAGCAGAAATTCAAATTAAAACCACACTGAGATAGTAGATCTACGGTAAGAAGGGCTGTAGAGCCCGTGAGAATGGCTCATATAAAAAAGAATGGAATTTAATATTTGCAAGATTGTGGTGAAAAAGGAATTCTTATCCACTATTGGTAGGAATACAAGCTGGTACAGTCCCTGTGGAAAATGGTATGGAGATGTCTCATGAAAATCCCATTTGAGTGCCTCCCCTGGTGGCCTGGTGGCGCAGCGGTTGAGCGCTGGGCTGTGAAGCTGTCCGCAGCCTCTGCAGTGCCAGTTCGATCCCCGGCCACCAGTGAGGGTCCCACAGGGCGCGCAGACCTCTCCTGCTGCCCGCTGCTCCCCTCAGCAATGTATTTCATCAGTCTGCCTGTTCTGTTCCCTTCTCTGGCTCTGGTGAATTCTCTCAACCTTCTGTGCTTCTGACTGTACCCAGTGCTTGTAGAAATGAATAAATAAATCTTTAAAAAAAAAATCCCATTTGACCCAGTAATACCTCTATTAGGTGTCTATCCAAATAACCCAAACAACTAAACACAAAAAGATCTATATACACCTATATACATAGCAGCACTGTTTACAACTGCCAAATCATAGAACCAACTCCAGTGCCCTTCAACAGGTGAATGGTTAGAGAAACTGTGGAGCATATAGTCAGTGGAATATTATACAGTTGTGAAGAAAGATGAAGTAGTGGCATTGGCACAAAATGGATGGACCTTGAGGTGATTATGTTGGGTGAAGTCATCCAAAAAGTGAAAGACAGATATTGGATGGTTTCACTTCAAATGAGGAATATAAATACCAAAAAAAAAAAAAAAATTACATGCAAACAATAGAATAAAAATTTGAATTTGTCAAAAAAAAAAAAAAAAGATAATGGCTACTAGACGAATAGGGGAAAGGGTGGAGGATGGGTTATAGAGGCAGATGGGGTATGGACACAGATGGTTTGGTGGAGGCAAAAAAAGCCCCACCTTAATATTAAAAAAACAAGTTGTTTGTATAGTAGGAAAAAAATCCCCTTTCATTCTTTTTTATATCAGCAATTCTCAAAGGGGTACCTGCTATCTCAGCGTGGTTTTGTGTTTCTGTTATGTTAGCGATGTTGAACTTTTTTTTTTCATTTGTGTATAGGCCATCTGAATATCGTCTTTAGCTAGGAAGGGGTTTTCCCACAAGTGCAACCAATCAAATAATCCAAAAGAGTTAGATGTCACTGTGCCAACATCCAAGATATAACGAGTGGAATAAACCAATAATAGATAATACAAGAGAAAAATACGATAAATGTATAGAACAAGAGATCCAGAAACATGCAAGCATTTAATACTAGAATGTGAGCTGCAGAGGAAAAGAAGAGATTTGTGTGTTTTGATCACCCATGGATCCCTCTCTAGCTGTTCAAAGGGTACTTGGCACAGTGTAGGCAGTCAACAAATAGTAGTTGACTCAAAGAATATGAACCACATGCCCCAGTCTCCAACTGGTCATAGATCCCTAAAAATCATGGATGGGAAAGTCTGGAGACTTTACAGGGAGACAAAGTTTGGACAGAATCTTGGAGGTAATGGGGAAAGAAAGTGTGAACTTGCATGTTCACACACACTCAAACGGGTCGGAACAGAAGCTACACAGTACATTATGAAACCAAGGGGTTAAGTTTGTCTGACCAAGGTGAACTTAGAAACGTCGCAAAAAGTACATGCTGTTTTCCAATTTGAAAAAAAAAATCTCCCTTAAACTTCTTGTCCATACACATCACACATTGAGCACTCATGTACTACCTACAAAATGAGTTAATGTTTTGGCAAGACAAACCATATTTTGTTTTAGGAATGATACCGTCTATTTCTATAAATGGGTGGGTTACTTTTGAGAAAAATAGCTTTATGTGGACATGCTGTTAGTTGATAGGCTTTGCTGTATGGCTTCAGTTGCTACAGGGTGCTCCTCAAACATTGCAGCTGTGCCATTTCCCAGTCTCCTTTGCAGTTGTCAAATGGAGTCATTGTTCCTTTGGTATTAATTTGCCATCACATGATTTGCTGTTCTAGAGATAGCAAATTCTCAGGTAATATATATATTTCAGATTGAGGCAACATTGGTTTACAACACTGTATAAAGTTTACAGGATCACACCCTTCAGGTGTATGTTACCCTAACACCACACCCACCACCCAGGCACTGAAAGTCCTCGATCATAGTTCAGGTATTTTTAAAGAGCAAACAAGAGAAGCAAATCAGCAGGATTTTAGATGCAGAGCAGTCTAGTGGAATTTAAGCTGAATGAGCTGTGCTGTCATGGAAGTGGCAGTATCCTCTTGTGTGCAGAGGGCAGCACGACTGTAGAGGCATTTCCACTTCTCACCAAAGGGAGTTCTGGCCACAGAGGTCTTGTAAAGGGTTTCCATTTTCAGAAAGATGCCATGATTTAGTCTGGGTATTTTCTAGGTTGGTTAAATGATACTAAATCTTCAGCTCAATTATACCTAGACAATGCTTTTCAGACAGATTTTTTTTAATCTTCCTTGATATGAAGGCTAATTTTGAAATATAGCTAAGTAAGAAATTAGGCCAAACCATGAACCCAAAAGCAAGGCATGAACCTTTTTAGTTTACTGACCACAATAGTAACCTCATTAAAAAATAAAACAAACCTGAACTACTAACAATTTTTATTTTTTTTAAACAGGCATACCTAAATGAAGCAGCACTGCAAAACATTTTCTAAACCTGAACTTTAAAAAAACTTCACTCATTTAAGTCTCTGCCTCTGATTAAGTTAATTGTCTCTTGGGGAAGGGGTTGCTTAGGTATTCCAGTGTCCTGACCCTCCCCTTGGACTCTGTCAGGTGGAAAAGACGGAAATTACACACAAACTAGTGAAATCATGTATTTGTCTTTCTTTCAGGTTCAGTATTTCTTCAAGATCTTGGATAACTAGCAGTACAGAAAGTAAAAAAGTCACAAATTGGGGCAATGAGACAAAAGTGAATCACACACATGAAGAATGTGTTCATTCATTTATTGTCCGTTGTTTTAACCTGACTGAATACAAGATCAACAAGAGCACTGTACTCCTGGCAATTATTACATATGTTAGAACATGGATTTTGCACTGTAGACAACATTTAACACCAGTCTATGGGGTACTGCATTGCTTTTTATAAAGTCCAAAATAAAGATTTATTTTCAAACAAGTGACTTTGGTTTATTTCATACATTACACTTTTTCTTGCAGAAAAAAATAAAATTGTACAACTGCATAAATATAAAATTCTTCCACCATGAAAATGGTTAAAACATTCATAAAGACACAGCACCAACATGTGATGCCTCCAGGAAAGGAAAGAAGAAAAGTAAAAGAAAACGTACAAAGCAAATTAATTAGGCCTGCCACTAGCCAAAGTGACGGGCCCTCCGGATCTCATACATAGCTTCGGAACGTACTGGAGGACGAGGGAAGATGTCGAGACAGCATTCAATACAAAGCACAGCACAACCCATCACCTTTGTGTGTTTTTCTGTAGTGTCACTTAAAATTTAAAGGGCAGTTCCCCCATGACAGCCCACCCCACCCCACCCCCAGCCCCAGGAAAAAAAAAAAAAAAAGACCTAACACCACAGGAAAAGACTATGGAGTGTTAAAAATGCTCATTGATGGGCCATTATCTTTGAAAGAGCCAAACCAAACAAAAAAGTACCATGCCAGTTTTATTCCCATTGAATATTTACACCTTGGACAACGAATCTTGCTCACATAAAGTAGAAAACAGATATGATAAAACATGGCTTGAAAAATGACCAGTGTGTGCACCTATAGTACTGTACACTAAATAAAATACACAAGGCAGCAATACTTAGGGGCCAGAAACACTGCTTACTACAAGTCAGTTATGGAATCATAATTTACAGTAAAAATGGGCACGTCCCAAGGCTCAATTTTTATTTTTCTTTTGTCATTTACAGTAGAATAAATATTTTGTTGCTATTGCTACACTTTAAATTTACATTCTAACCTATTAAATGCAGAAAGCTAGTGTAAAGCATATAGATTAAGTGTAGGTCCCATACGTATGACAGTTTGTTCAAGACTAGTAGGTTTTGTTTTTGTATCTTTTTTTAATGTTTTAAATGGCTAGTGGGAAAGATTTGTGCTTGTGATCAGCTTTTAACTTCAATTTTTACATCAAAGCGTCCCTGAAAACGGTCTTTCTCACTGTACCCAATGTTCTCACCATATGCCTTACACTCAATGCGAATTTCAGTGTCCATTGTGAGGTTGGTGAACTGTACAGCCAGCAGGGGCTGCAGGTAGTTGGGCTGCAGGAGTTTGCCATAGTAGGGATAATACTGCAAAGGAAAGCCAGCGTAGCCACCCAGTCCGAAATACTCCACGTTTCCAATTTTATCCTTATCGTCATCTCGCTAAAAACCAGAGGGAAAGGAGATTTTAGTGCCTCACATCCTGGATTACTTCTTGCACTCTGTTACTCCCATAGATCACCCTCTGACAGGCGCAGCCCAACCTCCCCCAGAAGCAGATGAATTAACATTAACCATCAAAGGACACTGCTATGCTATCCACATAAGAACGAAATAGACTCAGACCAAACCAGACTAGCCTTGAAAAATGGTTATTAAAGGGAGGCCAGTCTCATTGTACAAATAGGGACCTGCAGCAACGGCCAACCAAGCATTTCTTTAGGTCAACACAACCTTCTAGAAACATCAAGTCAGAAATCCACTGGTGAGGGCCCAGTGGATGACATTTCCGTGTTATCACCAAAGATTTAACTATTTCCCTCTCATTTCCTTTCTTGGCACCTCCCTCTCAATAACCCATCAAGTATCTGCTTTTATTACTAAAGGAAACACATTTTTCAATATTTTTTAAAGAAAATCCAAGACCACAAATTTTTGTGAACTGTCCATCAAAACAAAAATGTTGACCTATGATTTTAATACACCTTGAGTACCAGACAAGCACTTATATGGGCTAGTCTGCCTTTCAGTTTTACCAATTAATATTCCAGTCAGTTGGTTAAGTTCACATATTTCTGTTTCCTGTTGTGGAGGAATTGACATATGGTTTTATTCCTGTTACATCTTTCTATTCTCTCGAAGTTTTACCCGTATACAATTGACTGACACTAATTCCTGGAAGCAGTGTTTCTTATTTCCCATATTAAGGTTTTACCTTTAACTTAAAACAGTCTCACTCATTTTTGCTCTCTTCCCCTGCACCATATCAACTTAATATCACCTTACCTTGCCAGTGCACTGGACGGGCAGGACATAAGGACTATACTTAATTAGGTTAGTCTCCAACGATTCATTCTTGGGAGGCTAGAAATAAAACCCATGTTTGGTCAGTAAGTTTGTAAACAACTTTTCAAATTTCTGAAAAACAAGTACATGGTGGTCACAGCAGGTCAAATGAAATTACAAAACACTCCAGGAAAGCAGAATGACTGACTACCCTAAACAATCTCAGAAAGGTTCATGTTGTGATTTTGCTGAAATAGAAGTGCCCAAGTCTTGTGACCACTACAATGAAGCTATGATTTAGTCCAATAATAAATGGAATTTCTAATGGTAACCCTTATGTTTTCCTCAAAGGCCCTGAGAAATAAAAGTTGACCAACAATGCCCCTTATTTTTTAAGATTATAGTAATTAGATGGAAAATTTGATTAACATTTTTGTTTCTCTAAAACTTGGGTTTTTCTCCTGAGTCATGCAAAATAGTGCCATCTTTTTCCTTCAAATGTGCCTTTTTTCAAGTAGGTTTTCTCTCTTTTAGAATTTTTTTCTTTTGGAATTTCCAGTGGGTTGCTAGAGACCTGTAATCACTGACAAAAACAATTCCAACAACAAAGTAGTAGTTGTATTGAACTTGGAGTGGAGAATTAATTTGGGGTAATGAATTAAAAAGTGGTAATGGGAATGGTGTACAAATATCACTCAATATCTTTGAAGAGAAATTATCAAAAGCAAGGTTTGAGAAAGCAAAGATTAGGATTAGTTGTCCTTTGGAAACACCACACCAATCCCTTTCATTTTGAAATAGCTCATTTATCTTGGATTCTATTCTAGCAATATGAATATCAACTGTAACTGCAACATAATGGTTTTTGCCATTGTTTTTCCAAGTGGAAAGAAGATTAACTTTCTGTTAAGATGTACATTTGTTTTTGTAAGGGATTTAGTAAGCCAGCCAGGCAACCATCCATCCACCCACTCATCCATTTTTGCCTCTACTGGCAATAAAGGAATTTGGATACATCAGTCAGTTAATAAACCTTTTCTTCTTTATATGATATTCTTTGGAAAATATCATTAATGGGCAACAAGCATTGTGGAACCACATTAATGTCATATGTGAGAAAATGAGTGGATTAAAAAATCAGATTCCAGAAATGAAGTGGTTTGTTCATGTATCTCAGTAGACAGCGGTGGATTCCTATCAGAGTGGAAAATGACACTCATAATGACAATGCTGACATGGACAAATGGGGGAAGCCATGCCTCATGGGGAAGGGGCAGGATTACTTATTAATGATGGCGGTGGGAAAGAGAATGAAAGAAAAATCTTTTATAAGAGCAGAGACAACACCATTTTTTTCCTTTTGAAGAATTATTATCTCACCAAATAGTAAGCAATGGTAATTTGCTATTTCTCAGTGATCTCAGGTAATGTGTACCCATTTATAAGTAGTGATACCAAAAGCCAACCTACATAGGGTTCAACTTCTAATTTTGCAATAAATCTCCGTTCAGGGGGAAAATTTTTTTTTTTTTTTTTTTCAAATTGCCAAACAGCTTTAAAAATATGCTGGCCACAAGAGGCTCTGAATCGTAATGTGATTACCCATGCAGGGGGTTTTTCAATTTAAACATACCTGTTCTATTTTCACTTTTAAAGCGTTCATATTATAGAATTACAGAATCATTAAGAACATAATAGAAGTATTAAGAATGGGACCATAGGACTAACTTTTAGAGTTGGACTCTACCACTTGGAATTACTCATAACATTAAAAAAAATTACAAGAATTTCCAGATAGATGCAGAAGTTTTTGGTGTTACTCTATAGACTGGGCTGCAAGATTGTCACTGAGTCTACATTAAAGCTTCCTTATACTAAGGAGATACTTTATCTAAAAGGTGAACAGTTCCTATAAAATCTATGATTAAAACATTGCTTGCCTTAGGTTTGAAACCCAGAACTCGGTTGAGCTTTATAATGATGCATGGTTTGCCATCTTTGTAGCCAAAAGATTCATCATTTATTCCAGAGCAATTTCCCAACCATTCAAGCTTGAACCTGCAGACTTTTCGCTCTCCTCGTTCATGGTTATATTCTCCTCGTTCTTTGAGTTCGCTGGGTACATCTGAAAAAGTAAACACCATTTCCACTTTGTGCCAACAATTCCCCAGCACCACTGAGAAAGAGAACTTTCTTGTCATCATCACCTCCCCTAAGACTATATGTTATTCTGCACTTGATGCATTGTCTGAAGTAAGCAAGGGCTTCTAGCAAACCATCGCTCATCTCTTCACTGACATTAAAAATGTATTTTACAAAAGCAATATCTAATACATGACCCCACACCAAAGTTTCATGGTACTTGATTATCAGCACATGATGTTTGGTCTCTTGCAATATTTTTCTTCCTTTAAATAATGAATGAGTCAGCTATTTAGAAGACTGAAGGAAAATTGGATCACTCTTCATTTACACAGGTCAGCATCAGCTTAGTTCAATGATGGACATTACAATTACAACACAAATTGAAAGGATTGTCAATAATTTTCAGAACTAGAAGTGTTTCTGCTCAGAACTTCTCGGAGCTATGCCCTTAATTAGCATGTTAGAAGGGAGTAGAAAAAAAAAGTAGTTTTCCCTTTTCAACCACCCATCAAGTTTTAAAAAAATTATCTTAAGCTGTGAATTCTTACAAGTCCTTATGCAACTGAGAAATCACATTGTTGCATTTTTATTCATATCTCACATCAAAGACAGAATGAATAATTCAAAGCTAACACAAAGTCCCCTACAGGAAACTGATGCCAGTATCAAAATTTTATCTATTTTTTAGGTTCAAAGATTATTTTCCCTTCAATTGGGAAAGTGCCTCGATTCAGTCCATCTCCTATAAGTGATTCACCCTGATTATTACTGCAAAGGGAAG